ACATATGCTCCCATCTAGACGTCATCTCTTTCAGGGAAGACCCTGCATTTTTCAACACGATAATGCCAGACCACATTCTGCAACAGTCACAACATCATGGCTACGTAGGAGAAGGATCCAGGTACTGAAATGGCCAGCCTGCAGTCCAGATCTTTCACCAATAGAGAACATTTGGTGCATCATAAAGAGGAAGGTGCGACAAAGAAGGCCCAAGACGATTGAACAGTTAGAGGCCTGTATTAGACATGAATGGGAGAGCATTCCTATTTCTAAACTGGAGAAACTGGTCTCCTCTGTCCCCAGACGTCTGTTGAGTGTTGTAAGAAGAAGGGGGGATGCCACACAGTGGGAAAAATGGACTTGTCCCAACTTTTTTGGGATTTGTTGACGCCATGAAATTTGGAAACAACAGATTTTTCCCTTAAAATGAAACATTCTCTCAGTTTAAACTTTTGATCTGTGATTTGTTCTATTCTGAATAAAATATTAGATGTTGGCACCTCCACATCATTGCATTCAGTTTTTATTCACAATTTGTTTAGTGTCCCAACTTTTTTGGAATCCGGTTTGTAGAAAATTGGTAGGTTGTCAAAAGATAGTTTGAGTGATTATTTGGAGCAAAGATGTTTAGGTTGCTTAAATAAAATAAAAACATTTAAAACTGTAAATGTTGTGGGTCAGGACATTTCCAACTGGGAGGAGACCCTGGGAAAAATCAAGGAGACACTGGAGTGACTAGTGTCTGGGAACACCTTGGAGTCATCTCAGAAGAGCTGGAAGAGGAAGCTGTGCAGAGAGAGGTCTGGACCTCCCTGCTCAAGATGCTGCCCCCACCATCCAACTCTGAAACAAACAGAAGATGATGGATGGATGGATGGATGGATGGATGGATGGATGGATGGATGGATGGATGGATGGATGGATGGATGGATGATGGATGGATGGATGGATGGATGGATGGATGGATGGATGGATGGATGGATGGATGGATGGATGGATGGATGGATGGACGGATGGTTGGACGAATGGATGGATGGTTGGACAATGGATGGATGGAAAAAAATTTAGCTTGCTGTGCATGTTTAGTTCTTTGATTTTCAACTATTTTGACAGTTTTACACGGAATTAAAAATATATTTTTGCTTCTTTTTCATTTGCGGTAATGAGGCAGGACAATTCAACACCCAGTTCTGTAGTTGATTAATCAGATTACTTGGAGCAGTAATCAAAGTACATGTTGAGTAAATGGGAGTTTAAAATGATGACCGATGAAAGTGACGGTCCCCATGTTTGTGTTTCACCCTGGGCCCCAAAAAGTCTAAAGCCGTCCCTGAGAAACCACACATTTACTTACAGGCGCCAGAAAAACAGATTTATTCATGCGCGAATCTGAGCAGTGACGCAATCTCCTGCACGCTCCTCTGCGCGTGCAGCATGGCGAGAGCAGAAAAATCACACATTTAATGAATGACCTAATTAAGCCTCAACCTAGCACTTTCTCATGTCCTGTCTTATGGACACGCGCGCGAGACACAGAACCAGGGTTTGCTGCAGAACCGGAGACTTGGTGGTTTTTCCTCCAAACGCAGACACGGGTCAGTGTCTGAAGATGGAAAAGGAAACAAAACACATGAATGTGGCGGCTCGGTGTGTTTGATGTGGCAAGAAAAGTGCGCGTGTGTGTGTATGTGGGGGGGGGGGGGGGGACGCGTGCAGTCAAAGGAGGCGCGCGCCCGCTGTTATTTAGTGGGAGAGCAGGTGCTCCTTGAATTACCATACAGCTGAGGACAGAGGGTAAACTTCCCGCACACAATGACCAAGTTCCCCCTTATGGTGGCCACGCGAACGGCTAAACGCACGCGCTCACACACACACCACACATACGCACACGCACACACAGATGCAACAAAATACATTTGTACTTTTTTCTTTCTCAAAAGAAGAGAAGGAAGGAGCAAAACAGAAAAGCACAAGTCCAGCCCTCCACTCGTTCAGCTCCTCAGCTCTGCCAAGGAATGTTTCCTTTGCTCTGTTTCACACGCGCGCACACGCACACACACACACACAATGTAAAAAGGCTGTGCGCGCTGAGGAAGAGGAGGAGGACTGAACAACAATTAACTCAGTTTGATGAAAGAACTTCACTTTTTCTGCGGAATCTGGAATATTTTGGAACCACTTCCCCACGTCACCCAAAACCTACACCCCCACCCCACCCCACCCCCACCCAAAACAAGTCGGAGCTGCGCGCAACAGCTGGACGGACCGTGGTAATCACATGGAGACACATCAGGCCGAGGAGCTGCTCTTCATCCCAACAAAAAGCAGGAACATAAAACAGAAGAATAAAAACTTTGCGTCAAGTTCATCTCTTTAATGAGCAGAATCCAAACACACGTGAACTCTTCTGAACTGGGAACCATCCTGCTCGCCACAACTTTCCAGCTCATGTTCTGCTTCTGATTCGCAGCCACTGCGCTGCTGCAGCGGGGGCCCGGAGCCTGCTGGGGGCTCCTGCGTGGGACCCCATTGTGAAAGCCCGGCCAGATTGGAGGAGGGGCCTATTCGCATGTTATTACCATAACGTGCGTCCGGTCCTATATAACGGGCTGCAGGCGGCTGGGCCGGAGTCTGACGCGCTATCAGAGGAGACACACCGGGAGGGAGGAGGCATGTTGGACCAGTGACACATCTGTCCCTGGATTACACCAAAACTTCACACAAAAACAAAGCTGTCCTTTTTTTTTTTTTTTTTTTTTGGCTGCAACAAACGAGGAACCCAAGTTTACGCGCCAGATTAACGCACCGGAACTGGAGGACTTGTCTTCTTCTTGTGTTTGTTTTTGTGTCATAACCTGAAAGAACTTCCTACAAGAAGGAACTCTGGGTGAAGGATCACTCCTCCCTGCGAGCTTGGGACATGAACCACAGCAGAAGCAGCTCATGAGAACACCTAAAGGAGCTCCATGAATCAGAGGGGTTGAAAAGGAGGAGGCACCCTGAGGACAAGTCGAGCCCCGAGACTTTGACTTGATTTATTTCATATTTATGATGTTTTTATTGAATATGGGGCGCGTCATCCTGCTCACTCTCACCGTCATGTCCATGTTGCTGTGCCAGGTAAGTCTTAAAAATCTGTATTTCCTCCGAATGACGCACGCTTCCATCACGGCACACACACACAACGGCACAGTGTGTGCGCGTGTGCGTACTTAAGGTTAATGGGTCTGTTCTCTCTGCAGGGGCTTTGTTCAGGAGTTTTTGAGCTCAAGTTGCAGGAGTTTCTAAACAAGAAGGGAGTGCAGGGCAACAAAAACTGCTGCACAGGAGGCCTGGCGTCCCCTTTCCAGCAGCAGTGCGAGTGTAAGACCTTCTTCAGGATCTGTCTCAAGCACTACCAGCCCAACGCGTCCCCGGAGCCGCCGTGCACGTACGGCAGCGCCGTGACTCCAGTCCTGGGCTCCAACTCCTTCCAGGTCCCCGACGTCTTCTCCGACAGTTCCTTCACCAACCCCGTCAGGATTAACTTCGGCTTCACGTGGCCGGTAAATACTTGTGTTCAGCCGCAGTTAACATTCGCGCCATTTCACATCCGTGCGTAAAATGCGCGCAAAGGCCCGAGTTGTGGCCACAGCTCCGGCGCAGAGAGCGCGCGGCGTTTCGGGCTGTGGGTGTTGAGTTTCAGCACATCAGGTTAGGCACTTTGCAGTCAGCGCACTGAGTGCACGGCACAGATGCTCGGGCCTTTCCTCGTGCACGTCCCGCTCACCACCTGTCTCATGAAGCCATTTGTGTTCCCAGGGGACCTTCTCGCTGATCATTGAAGCGTTGCACACCGATTCCAAAGACGACCTCTCCACAGGTACGACCCTCCCTCCTCCGCACACACACGCACGCACGCGCACACCCCCCTTTTCAATGTGCGCCCACAAACGCACACTTTCCCCCTCAGCGCGTGTAACCCCGCACCTCACACGTTTCTGCTTTCAGAGAACCCAGAGCGCGTCATCAGCACCATGAGCACCCAGAGGCACCTGACGGTGGGAGATGAGTGGTCCCAGGACCTGCACAGCGGAGGAAGGACCGAACTCAAGTACTCCTACCGGTTTGTGTGCGACGAGCACTACTACGGGGACGGCTGCTCGGTGTTCTGCCGGCCACGAGACGACGCGTTCGGACACTTCACCTGTGGAGAGCGCGGGGAGATCGTGTGCGACGCGGGGTGGAAGGGCCAGTACTGCACAGAGCGTGAGTCCACTTTGTCTGCTCCACCTCATCTGTGCGTAAAAGCGCAAAGAACAAACTTTTATCCTTTAAAGGGGGAAATATGAAGCAAATACAATCAGGAGCAATCACTGGATGTTCACTGAGCTCAAAAACAAAGAGACACGTTTTCATTGTGAACATTGTTGTTAAGTGAAGAGCAAAGTTGAATTTTAGTGTTGGGTTTGTAGTCAGAACCTCTGAGTACCGTTACAGGACAACTTGTGCATAAACACCACGCGTACCCCCCTCCTTTCTCCTTACACACACACGACCACTTGATTTATTCTAAGGAAAGTTTTTTTGGAATAATCTCACGCGTGCCATAAATTTACATGCTGCCTTCTGATTGGTTACCCTGGGAGTGGGCCGGGCGCTGATTGGCTGAGGCGGGGGAGGTATTGTTTGAAGTGGGCAGCTGCCGGCAGAGAGGAGACAATGGAGCAGCTGTCGCGCACTGGCAACACACTCGCCAGCTGTCCACTCTTATCTGCCCCAATCCGAGACATTAAGGGGAGTGTGTGCGTGTGCGCGCACAGAATGAATAAAAGAGTTTTGACCCACAGCAAAGAAGAAAAAAAGAGGGTGGTGGGGTGTGCTGAGGGGGCCTGTGTGAGAGAGTGTGTGCACTCTGGAGCACACACTCCCTTCTTTGTCTCAGCACCATGTTAAGCAGAAAAGTCTTCCATGAATGAAAGAGGTTGAGTTTCAACTTAGCTTCAAAGTTCAGCACATTCGATTTTAGGTTCCCATAGTTTGAAACAAACCGTTAGCGTTAAGTGTTTAAGTGTTACTAAAACAATTTTCCATCTCTTCCCGTCCAGCGATCTGTCTGCCCGGGTGCGATGAGGAGCACGGCTACTGTGAAAAACCAGGGGAGTGCAAGTAAGTTTTCTCTCCTGATTCGCCGAAGCGTGAATAAAACTGGGGGCACCTCGAGGTGATGTGAGTGGACTGAACGGTGTGTTCCCTCTAATTGGACAACAACAGGTGCAGAGTGGGATTCAAAGGCCGCTACTGCGACGAGTGCATCCGTTACCCAGGCTGTCTCCATGGGACCTGCCAGCAGCCCTGGCAGTGCAACTGTCAGGAGGGCTGGGGGGGGCTCTTCTGCAACCAAGGTGAGGAAAGAATCTGAACAAGCTACAGAGTACTTAAGAAAGACTGAGGTGTGTGGAGGACCGCTGGTTTCTTGTTTCATTGAACTTTGTGACTCTGGAGTGGATTAGGATTCTTCTAAAACAACAGGGTTTGAGTCACAACTTAAAAACCACCTGTTTCATCTGACTGTTGGTTGACCTGAAAAAATGGTAAGAATTCAAGTTAGCAACACAAAATGTAAAGTTTAGTGTAAAAACAGTGTTAGATGGTGCTCTTCTTAAATGTTGAAGATCAGCAGATACGAGGGGACAAAAGACAACAACCCAAAGCACACATGAAGGAAAGCTGAACACAGTGGAGAACAAAAAGCATTCTGCTGATGCCGTCCTGCCATTTGTTGCACTGAGGCTAATCCACATGTGCTGCTGTGTCTCCCCAGACCTCAACTACTGCACCCACCACAAGCCATGCATGAATGGAGCCACTTGTAGCAACACGGGTCAAGGCAGCTACACCTGTTCCTGCAGGCCTGGCTTCACTGGGGCCAGCTGTGAGGTCAAGGTCAACGGATGTGCTGGAAACCCCTGCCGCAACGGAGGAAGCTGCACCGTAAGTGTGCCTGTCTGTAAAAATAGACATCTTTTTACAGCGGCTGTATACTTCTGGCACCTTTGTCGCATTTCATCATCCAGTCTCATCTTCCTTATCTGACACTTGCTCGTTCTTTAGTCTATAAAATCGGAAAAGCTCCCAGAATAACAACAAAAAAACATCCAAAAATGCACATGCAAGACGTATCCTGGTGTGAAGCCTGATCTAGATGTTTCCCCTTGCATATAGGACTCGGAAAATACATATAAGTGCACTTGCCCTTATGGTTTCTATGGCAACAGCTGTGAGTTGAGTGCCATGACGTGTGCTGATGGGCCTTGCTCCAATGGTGGGCGGTGCGCTGACAACCCTGATGGAGGTTATTTTTGCCAGTGCCCCACAGGATACGCAGGGTTCAACTGTGAGAAGAAGATTGACCACTGCACCTCCAGCCCCTGCTCCAACGGTGAGTGACGCAGTGCGAGCAAACAGAGATGATGTTTGATCCTGAACAGTTCAGATCTGTGTGCCTGGACTCGAGGAACATCAACACTGATTAAAGTGAACACTGATGTGAGGCTTTGTGTACTTTTTCCAGGTGCACGGTGTGTGGATCTGGTCAACTCGTACCTGTGTCAGTGTCCGGATGGTTTCACTGGTGTGAACTGTGACCATACTGGGGACGAGTGCTCGGCCTATCCTTGCCAGAATGGTGGCACCTGCCAAGAGGGGACCAATGGCTACGTCTGCACCTGTCCGCCAGGATACACTGGCCGCAACTGCAGCTCCCCCATCAGCCGCTGTGAGCACAACCCTTGCCACAATGGTGCTACCTGCCACGAGAGAAACAACCGCTATGTCTGCGCGTGCGTCCCTGGATATGGTGGCAGAAACTGCCAGTTCTTGCTTCCAGAACATGCCGCGATCCGTGGATCAGAAGTGCCCTGGATGGCCATCGGGTCAGGTGTGGCTCTGGTGCTGCTACTGCTGGCGGGCTGCGCTGTGCTGGTTGGATTTTTCAGATCAAAAGTTCAGCACAATGGACAAATAGAAACTGTGGGTGACAGAGAGACAATAAATAACTTGACCAACAACTGTCACCGAAGTGACAGGGACCTGGCGATCAGCGTGCTGCCGACACCGGGCGTCAAGAACATCAATAAGAAGATGGACTTCTGCAGCAGTGACCCCGATGAAGGTTCTTCACCTGGAAGGAGCAGCTACAAAAGCCGCCATCAGCCTACAGACTACAACCTCGTGCACGAGGTCAACTACGAGCAGGCGGCTAAGGAGGCCATGCTGGAAGCAGGCTGCGAGGACAAGTGTCAACCCGTTGATTCATTTGAGTTTGAGGAGAAACGCAGCAAACGTTTAAAATGGTAAGAATTCACTGAAAATGCCATTAAGTTGCTTCTAAAACAGAAAGATCGATAACTTGTTCTTCTCTCTTCCTTAAAGCGATGCATCAGAAAAGAAAGCCCCAGAACTGTCTGCATGTGCGGACACCAAGTACAAATCTGTGTTTGTGATGTCAGAGGAGAAAGACGAATGTATAATTGCAACTGAGGTGGGTTTTCTTAACATTGCAACAATTTTCAGAGGTGCTCATGCTCAGAGTCCAGTTCTCATGTGTGCATTTTGTCTGTTTTGTCTACCTGCAGGTGTAACAAGCCACAAATGGGCTGCCTGTTACTCATTTGTTCTATGGGAGAGTTTTTATGCTCCTTCAGATGCTGCTCTAACCCTAGGGGGAGGTGTCCCGCCTCGAGACTGCTGCTGATACTAAGACGTTTAACTGATATTCAGAATGAGCTGGTTCTCTACTGGTAACTAAGTGTAGGCAGCGGCGGCCTGTGGGATAAGAACTGACCGGGTAAAATTAACAAGTTTACAGTGCAAAGTAAACTGACCCTTAGTTTTCTGTTTTGCCTTTCATTGGAGAGTAAATATAAGGTGAAAGTTGTCACATGGCGATAGCGTACGATGCTACGAGTCTTGTTTTTGCAACATTTGCAGCCAGGCCTTTTCTCTAACCCACACGCCGTTGCTGAGCGCAGGAACTGCATCAAACGGTGGATGTTTGGCCATAATGGCCTGCTCCTCACCAGGCCGCAGCCGTGGGCTGTGCACCCGTGGGCTGTGCACCCGTG